ACGGGGCGGGACCCTCCGTCGGTCCGGTCCGCCAGAGCTGGCCGACGGGGCGGGACCCTCCGCCGGTCCGGTCCAGTCGCGCTGCGACGCCGAGTTCCCTGTACGACCAACGAGCAGCCGACGCCGTTGCTCGTCCGGGGCCGAATGTTTCACTTTGCCCGGCGTTGAACGGAAGGCGGAAAGCGATTGTGTTGAACATGCTGCTGCAGTTGTTGGACACATCTCGCTATGCTGACCTGATGAAGCAGTATCATGCAATTACGGCACGCTCTCAAACCAGCAGATTCAGCATGCCGACAGCAAGTTGAACGCTGAGCTTAGGGATTCGCCGGGCGGCTGGCTCCAGACTGTTGTGTCGCATCCGGCGTTTGTAGAGCTTGCTCGGTTGCTAAGTGGCTACCATTCCTATTTATCGCTCGTTGGGGCCCTGGAATATGGCGTCGATGAAGAGCAAGTGGTCAATTAGTGAATCACTGGCTCAAACCCAGACTGCTTTGAAAGCTTGCTGCTGGTCGTAAAACACTCATAAATGGCCAGTTGATCCCCAGGCCCCTAATCAGCATCGGACGACAAATGCGGTTAGGGGAACTTTCCAGTCTAGAGAAACCGGCCAGATGTAGACGACTAACCAGCCAATAACGACTAACGATTCCAGGGCGACCGATCATTTTCGGATGATGGCCAGCTTAGGACGGTTAGCCGGTTCACAGAGGACTGACCAGTCCTACAGGAAGATGACCAGTCCGGAGAGGCTAAACAGTTCAGAGAGACCGACTGGTCCAGAGGGACTGGCCAGTCCCGAGAGACCGACCAGTCTAGGGTGGGTGGCGGGTGTCAGCCGACTGGCCAGTTGGATCACTGCGCAGTTTAGCGAAAGCAGAGATAATTGGAGACGAAGCCATCTGGAATGTGATGCGTGTTTTATTTGTACTTAATGAGACAGCTCCACGTTCGAAGATATAAAAGCAAGCACCAGATAGTGGTGCGATAAGCTCACTTTCAATTACTGGTACAGTTTGAAGTGGAAGATACTGCCCTAGACAATACAGCTTCACTGCATGGTCAACATGCTCAAAAGGTCATCGTTTGATTACGTCGCTGATCAGCAGCCCGCCGCAGGCCGCTGGCGGTGGAAGCCAGCTGCCACTGAGCCCTGACTCCAACCGCCGGCGGTGTGCTCTTGGCGTCGCCGGCGGTGAAAGCCCGCTGACCCCATCAGCTGCCGTCTCCCGGCCAGCTGCACTGAACCCTGACTCCGCCTGCCGGCGGTGAAAGCCCGCTGACCCCATCAGCTGCCGTCTCTCGGCCAGCTCCACTGAACCCTGACTCCGCCTGCCGGCGGTGAAGGCCGACTGACACCCACAGCTGCCGTCTCCCGGCCAGCTACCACTGAACCCTGACTCCGCCTGCCGGCGATGAAAGCCAGCTGACCCCTCTCAGCTGCCGTCTCTCGGCCAGCTCCACTGAACCCTGACTCCGCCTGCCGGCGGTGAAAGCCCGCTGACCCCTCTCAGCTGCCGTCTCTCGGCCAGCTGCCACTGAGCCCTGACTCCGCCTGCCGGCGGTGCGCTCTTTGCGCTGCCGACGTCCCCGAGCCATCCATCACAGCCCCGACCGGTCTGCCCAGCCGGCCGGATGTGTGGCTCCGGCTTCACCGCCAGCTTCGGCACGCGGACGATCCATGCACGCGCCAGCGGTAGTTTGGGGGTATGGCAGCGCTTGATGGGGATATGGCAGCAGATAATGGTGCCGCGATGGATGAGGCTCCGTACGCACGGGCATGTCTAGCGGCGCATGACGCAGAATCCTGGAGAGGGTCTGCGTCGCTGGACACCGGCGCGCAGCAGCCATACGCAGGTCCCGCCCCTGATCCAACACAGTTCGTGCACATGTGGTAGTTCCGCCGCGTTCGTGTCTTCATTTACTAGTCCTGGAGAAGTCACACGAAGCACATACTCGATGGAGCTATCTAAAATGTAATGTAACATATTATTTGTGTTCATTAGAGAGAGCAGAGATAACTTGAGACAAAGCCATCTGGAGTGTAATGTATGTTTTATTTGTACTTAATGAGACGCTCCACGTTTGAAGATATTAAAGCAAGCACCAGCTATGGTGCGATAAGCTCACTTTTAATTATTGGTACAGTTTTAAGTGGAAAATACTGCCCTAGACAACACAGTTTCACTGCATAATAAACATGCTCAAAAGCTCATTGCTTGATTACGTCATCGTACGTTGCATACATTACCTTGCATACAAACATCGTGCTTTGTCAAAAGTGACTGAGAGTCAATTAACGGCCGTTGTATCTGGAAATTGTCCTCACGAACACCATATATGAGCGACTCGACACTAATACTTTTCTTGGCCTTGATCGTCTCATGGCCAATGGCATGGCAGGTCTAAAATGACGTTGTTACATCTTGACGTTATCGCAGCTTGAAATAGTCCGAAAATTCTGCACATTTTTGCGAGCATGCAGCTCAAAGACTAGATGGGTTTAGGTCTTAAGAAAAACAGGGCTGTGAACTGCACCGAATGATGTTCAAGACGGCTTTTTCAGTTCAAACACTCCCTTTGAGCTACCCGATTATAAGTGCATTAGTTCTTGTTCTTTGTTTTCTTTTGTGTTTTCCTTTATTTAAGTTTGATTTGCTCCAACTAAGACCAGTTTATTTACGACACAAGGCTTATGGATGACACAAGGCTTACGAAATCATCGCGTTGGATGCGCACGAGGACCCCAAAGCAGACACGCTGAGCTTGTGCGACCAATTGGCTAAAGTTTTCTCAGCTATGCTTATCTCGCATTCAGCAGTTTCCAGACGACGCGCAGCAAAATTCAGCGCTCAGCTCTGCATCCCATTTGCTTGAATTTTGAATTGGGCTGGATGGGGCAGCAGCGACCCCTGCCCTACGCTCGCAGAACGCGGCCAGCAGCCGGCCAGAAACATGTTCGGAGAGAGAACGGACTGATTTCAAACCTGGTCTCGATTGTTTCCCTGGTGTTCAGTCATCACTTCAATGCGTTAGAACAAATTCAGAGATACCGGTTTTTGAAGAGAGAGAGAGAGAGAGAGAGAGAGAGAGAGAGAGAGAGAGAGAGAGAGAGAGAGAGAGAGAGAGAGAGAGAGAGAGAGAGAGAGAGAGAGAGAGAGAGAGAGAGAGAGAGAGAGAGAGAGAGAGAGAGAGAGAGAGAGAGGATGAGAGAGAGAGAGAGAGAGAGAGAGAGAGAGAGGAGAGAGAGAGAGAGAGAGAGAGAGAGAGAGAGAGAGAGAGAGAGAGAGAGAGAGAGAGAAAGGGACGATGACGATGCTTGTAGCAAGTCCCCGAGGTGCTCAGGACATCTGCGCTCTACAAACACCGAAAATCCATATATACAGCTGCGTTGCCCGATTTCATAATGGAAGCATTTTACATGTCCTGTTGATTGCGTATATGCTGATCGACAGCACACGCTATCGGTTTGTCTGAATAGCCCTATTTTTTGTTTGTTCGTGCAACAGGAACAAAGCGAAGAATCATAGCAAATCGAAAGCCTTAGTCCCCCAAAACGCAATGTGGCTTATATCGGAGAAAAAGTTCGGTGTTTATCTGGACCAGTAATGATGGCATGAAGTATTTGATTGGGGACGCCCCTTTTGCCCTCTGCTAAGCTGTCTTGCTGCTAAGCGATAACGTAGGGTTAAAATGTAACGAGATGCCAAGGGGAGTGAAGTCAGAGAACCCAAGGTTCAATTATTAACGGTTCATTTCCATTTGGTCAAGCTGGGCCTGACTGTCGAGCTCATGTCTTGGAGCACACATACATGGTGACAATACGTGGTTCGTTGTTAGCACCCTGCTTGAAACACTACGACACTCCATATTGTTCGGCATTCTCGTCTTGCAGATTGATGGACCGACTAAAAGTGCGTTCAAAATCTATGTAATTCCAAAAATTCATTAGAAGACACTATTCGCTTGACTTGTGCTACCCCGCTGCTGCCCGCACGAGAATATCTTATAAATGAAACGCATCAAGCAACTGCATCCTTTCGGAAACGACGCCCAATGGAGCGCGCAAACCACATCACCCGTGAAATTCAGCCGATGAGATCCATACCCATCCTATATCCTCCGTAGCGCTCAGGAGGTGATCACGCAGCGTTAAATTTTCGACGTCCGGTCCAGCGTTGGTTACGCCGCCCGCCTCTGCTGTCAGATCGCATAGCGGGAATCGTTTTTGGCGATTCCTATAACTCGGGGTAACCCGCGTCACCAAGCCCAGCCGTCTTTGTGCCAGTTTGTTTTCTGTGATATATGGCTTTAGACCCCCTCCCCCGTCCCAACCAGATCCCCTCCCTCTTTATCTTCCCAACTCTCTCTCTCTCTCTCTCTCTCTCTCTCTCTCTCTCTCCTCTCTCTCTCTCTCTCGCTCTACAAACCCTCCCTCCTCCTCCCCTCCCCCTCTCTCGCTCTCTCTTTCTCCTCTCTCGCTCTCTCTCTCTCTCTCTCTCTCTCTCTCTCTCTCTCTCTCTTCTCTCTCTCTCTCTCCCTCTCTCTCTCTCTCTCTCTCTCTCTCTGCCTTTTGATCCGTGATGCTCCACCTAAGCAACTGCCACCTCTCGCTATCGAAAACATCTTTCATCCCGACCTCCTGCATCCTCTCCATCGTCTCTGGTTCTGATCCCCTCTCCATTTCCAAAACCTGAGCAGTGTACCTCCTTTTCCATTTCCGCCGTCCATCAGCAACTCTCATCTCCGCGGACTGGTTTCCTGCACCCCCTCCCTTTCATCGCCCCTCTGCGCCCCCTGTGTCATACCCGTGTCCCGGGGTGAAGTACAAGCGCCTGTCCTTGAGTAGCGTGCCCCGTTTCCCAGGTGAGCCAGGCCCTTGAATATTAAGCTCACGACCCAGCAAAAGGTAACATCGCTTAAATAATCACATCGTCCCTCAAGCAGGCTGTGACATGGACCATGAGCGTCCTGCCTGACCTCCTAGTCTCCTGTTGCAGGAGCCGTCTCGCGGCTGGACCAGGAGCCGCCGGCCCGGCCGCCCCAGGAGCAGACGCTGTCGCTGCCCCGGTTCGCCAACAACACCAAGCTGAGGGTGATAGGTCAGGTCGGCACACCCACCTACCTCACCTGCCAGATTCACAACCTCGGCGACCGGGCGGTGAGTGGAGGGGCGGGGCGGCTGGGAGCCGAGGCTTCCGCGCGGTATCAGAGACGCCCTAGTGACAGCTGTCCATAAGACGCCTCAATTGGAAGAAAAGTACAGAGACGGCTGTCCTTGAGACGGCTGGGAGCCAGGGCTTCCGCGCGGTATCAGAAGCGTCATGGCGACAGCTGTCCATAAGACACCTCAGTTGAGAGACAGGTATGGTGACGGCCGTCTTTAGGACGCCTGGCAGCAGAGTCGTCCACGCGGTGTCGGAGACGCCCATGGTGACAGCTGTCCATAAGACGCTTCAGTCGGGAGACAGGTGTGGTAACGACTGGCCCTAGGACGGCTGGGAGCCGAGGCGCCCACGCGGTGCCAGAGACGCCCATGGTGACAGCTGACGTCTTAAGTAGACAGCAGACATCTCATGCTGGCTTTGATTTTATTTATTTTCTTACGGCACGAATTAGATGATCACGATATAACCCTCCTTTTCCCCTCTGTCCGCCTGAAAACATCCTGTCGATTTACAGTCCACGTTTGCAACATCATTTCAGGCAATAGCCTCCACAGACGTACATCAAGGAAATGATATTCATGAATAGCTTCTGACCTTCGTCCCAGAGGCAGACGATTTCACCTATTCGTGTGCCGCACGCGGTTTCTACTCCCATCAGGATTTAATGTAAAAAAATCCGCACCTTGTTGCATCAAGTAGGTTGTAGCACGAGCAGATGCATCAACAGCTATAGCAAACGCCATGCATACACTTATTGGTTGTTTGGTCGTTTCGATTAGAGCCCTTTCGACCAGAAATTATCGTTTCAGGGCTATGGGATGAAGGAAAAATGGTTAACGGTGAGGCAAACTTGTATGTGCCTGGGGGCCAACCGCCGAGCTTTAACCCGCGCATGCGCGCTGGGTACCCGGTCACGCTCCCCTTTCCCACGGGGCTCTCGGCCCACTCGTGGCTGGCGCTGCAGCCTGCCCGGATAAGCGGGGCGCCGTGGGGATGCAGGATGAGGCAAGGTAGAGGATAAGAGGGACGGATATGCGTGCACTTGCACTTACATGCATACACTTGCATATGCATGATCTTGAGCGGGACTGAATGCGGATGGTGCGTTCACTGAGGCCCCACTGCGGCTGAGGCGAGGTTAGCAAAGTTAGTTCTCAAATGTGCGTTGAAGGCTCAGCAATACGTTTATTGACCCGGCTTGGTCGCATATAAATTTTTGATGCTACATTCCCAGGCGAACACACACGTCCAATTTCAGAAGTTAAAACCACATGCCTCTTTTTGCCGTGACGCTGGCCTGTACTTTAACAACGTCCGTTGTGCACGCACGGACGGTGTTTCAATTACGTGCTCAATGACAGCCTTCCGACTTTTCTCGAAAACGTGCATGGTCTTGAGCATGACTGTGCGAACTGCCGGCCTGCATACCACTTTGATTAGCGAATTGGACGTTTTACGGCGCAGTGGATGTGAATGCCACATGGAGCCGCCATTCACATGCAATTACGACGCAAAAGCTCAGATTGAAGGACGCTTATGGAAACCTTCCATGAATCCCAAATCCTTGTTGATTGAACGGCTGGAGCTGACGCCGTGTCATCCACACGAACCCGCCTTATCACGTGACATAAGCAGACGTTTCGAAATTGCCCACCGAAGAACCATGCTATTGGCGCGTGTCCGAGGCTCCAAATCGACGCCAATCTGGTCATAATTTCGACATCTGTATGCAAATTACCCTGTCCGGAGAACAGGGCTGGCCAGCGGACGGTGGCTGTCTATCGGTGCTCCTGGCGTGCCTGTTCGGTCAGGGCCGGCCTATATCAGGAGAACAGGGCTGGCCAGCGAACGGTGGCTGTCAATCGGTGCTCCTGGCGCGCCTGTTTGGTCAGGGCCGGCTTATATCAGGAGAGTAGGGCTGGCCAGCGGACGGTGGCTGTCAGTCGGTGCCCCCCGCGTCTGTTCGATCAGGATGGGCCTATATCAGGAGATAGGGCTGGCCAGCTGCTGTCCGTCCCTGCTGCTGCACCAGGCGGCATGGCGTCGGCCAGTTGGCTGGGCTATCGGCCATCCTGTCTGGGCTGATTGTCATGCTGTATTCGGGCTACTTCGTCGGAAGTTTGACTGTAGCTCTTCCTTATGGCGGGCGCTTTCTTCCGCTCTGTTGTTCCAAATGAGTGGGCTTTGACGCATTCAGTTCAGCTCTAAGAAGAGCAGTTGACATGCAGGCCTGAACAGGTGGTCCCGACAATATGAGCACGGGCAGTCGACGGCGGGCTGGCTAGACACCAGGCTATCCCGGCCCGGGCCCACGACCCTGAGCCTGGCCACAGCCCTTGCCTGTGCATTTGCGTAGTGTGGGACCGACCCTACTGCCGATGTAATATAATGGCGTGCCTTACACTGGTGACGCACCATAAGCTGAGTGCTGGATTTTATCTATATGCTAATACAAGTGACGGTAAATACTAAATCTGCAACTATTAAGGTTTGGGCTATTGTTTTGTCATATGTGCATGCTCTATTACATAATAGAACGTTTGAGCAAAAATGCACAAAAAACAGACAAGAGAAACATAGGGCTTCAAAAATGTTAGTACTGATGTTACGATCGCTCAAAGTATTCAGATCTTACTATGTCAATTGTTATAACATGAGTATCAACTCACAAAAATGTAAGTTCTTCAGTGCATTAGCGAGGAATATTATTCACATAGATTAGACAGTAGTAATAGCCTTATTCCTCGGATAAAAACCAGGATAATGAAGATATAGTTGGGTTGCTATTTCGGCATCATGCCTTTCTCGAAACAGTAGCAGAAGCGCTATTGTTTCGATAAAGGCATGATGTCGAAATATCAACCCAACTATATCTCTATTCTGTTTTTCTCCCAGGAATAAGGCTATTACCACTGTCTTATCTCACAAAAATGCATCAAACACGGATTTGAGGAAAAGTTACGCCAGTACACCAGCGGGCGGACAGTTGCTCCGTGCTGAAACCAGGAAGATAATGGGCACTATAATTGAACGCTGAGTAAAAGATCTGAACATCAACATTACCCTACATGGCAAATAAACATTTCAGTAAAAAGGAGAGAACCCGAAATAAGCTACCTGTCGTCAAACTGTTCAGAGCGATGACTACCAAGCCATCAAGTCACCAAAAGCATAAACTTAATGTGTACAGCATCAGTTGAAGAAGGCTAAACAATGTATCAGGAATTGTTAGACGGGTTTGAGGAAGGTATCAGGATGGGAATCCTGCAATGCCAAAGCATGAAATGACTGCGTCAATGGAATATCAATGTGGCCAATTCCGCACTTGCCATACCCCATTCTTTACCATACCTACAGATCACATGCTCGGAATAGCATGATTTAGATGACCAAGAATGTACAGAGGCACGCATGCTTGGACTATGGGTCATGCCATATTTTATTGCCAGTGCTACTGTGTAGCGCTACCGCATATATCTTTCAACTCGATTGAGAAAACACGACTCTAATACAAATCGCTCCCCCTCCCCCCTCCCTACAGCTGCTATGATCCAAGGCCGCATGTGTACAGATCATCACCAAGACGTATTCGTGGCGAGGCTATCGAAATATAGACCGTAACTACTGCCCATCTAACGCCGACCTTTTGCTGTGTTGCAAAGCATGCAAAGCAAAGTATTGCTGCTAGCATCACTTTTTGTCATATCCGTGGTTGTCATGACTGTTGTGATGTAAATCAGATCAAATTTTGTGTTTGTCCTAGATGGTAGCACCATTAGCCTGTAAACAACATCGCCCTGGCAGGTCGGGACTATGTCTGTCTTGATCAATAAAAGTGAAGTATTCTATGTCGGAAGTACTTAAGTTGAATAAACGGTTGCTCCTGTTCTTGATCAGGCGGTACACCGGCACGGAGAACGTGGCCTGACTGGTCGGCCTGGGAGGATAAATCTGCGGCGCACCCGCCCCTCACCCGCACACTCAGCACGCGCTCCGCGTGAGACGCCCACTCACCCGCACACCCAGCACGCGCTCCGCGTGAGACACCCACTCACCCGCACAACCAGCACGCGCTCCGCGTGAGACGCCCACTCACCCGCACACCCAGCACGCGCTCCGCGTGAGACGCCCACTCACCCACACACCCAGCACGCGCTCCGCGTGAGACGCCCACTCACCCACACACCCAGCACGCGCTCTGCGTGAGACGCCCACTCAGCCGCACACCCAGCACGCGCTCCACGTGAGGCGCCCACTCACCCTCACACCCAGCACGCGCTCGGCGTGAGACGCTCACTCACCCGCACACCCAGCACGCGCTCCACGTGAGGCGCCCACTCACCCGCACACCCAGCACGCGATCACGCGTGACGCCACTCCCGCACACCCACACGAGATCCGCGTGAGAGCCCAATCACCCGCTCACACCAGCACGCGCTCTTGCGTGAGACGCCCACTCAGCCGCACACCCCTGCACGCGCTCCACGTTGAGGCGCCCCACTCACCCCGCACACCCAGCACGCGCCTGCGTGAGACGGCCCACTCAGCCGCACACCCCGCACGCCGCTCCACGTGAGGCGCCCACTCCACCCACCTACACCCAGCACGCGCTCTGCGTGAGACCGGCCTCACTCCACCCGCACACCCAGCACGCGCTCCACGTGCAGGCGCCCCACTCACCCCGCACACCCAGCACCGCCGCTCCACGTGAGACCTGCCCACTCACCAACACACCCAGCGCCGCGCTCTCGCGTGAGACCCCGCACCACGTCACCCACACACCCCGCACGGCGCTCTGCGTGAGACGCACTCACTCACCCACCACACCCAGCACGCGCTCTGCCGTGAAGACCGACCCACTCACCCGCACACCCAGCACGCGCTCCACCGTGGGGACGCCCACTCCACCCGCACACCCAGCACGCGCTCTGCGTGAGACGCCCACTCACCCGCACACCCAGCACGCGCTCCGCGTGAGACGCCCACTCACCCGCACACCCAGCACGCGCTCTGCGTGAGACGCCCATTCACCCGCATACCCAGCACGCGCTCTACGTGAGACGCCCACTCACCCGCACGCTCAGCACGCGCTCTGCGTGGGATGAACACTCACCCGCACACCCAGCACGCGCTCTGTGTGGACTCCCACTCGATTGGCGCGAACTCCTAGCCGTCGCCAGTGCTGTCCCGGCAAAAAAACAATATCGCGAAGGGCTGCAACTAACGCTGTGACAACAATTATGATGTATCAGAACATGTGATATACATTTTTATATATTTCTTGATTAATTGAAGATACATTCAACAAAACAGCTTTAAAACTGCGATTAATCGGCCACAGGAAAAACACGGCATATGCTCAAGCCACAAAATTTTTCCATGACAGACCATATAGACCATATAGACCATAGACCATATAGACCGTAGACCATACAGACCATATAGACCATATAGACCATATAGACCATAGACCATATAGAAAACAGACCATATTCCGTCCATGCTGGGAATCATCCATCGCAGCCGTTTGCACTGTTGCGACGTGCTCGGGCCAAGGCTTAATCGTTCCGCCGCATGGTCTAGCACACCCTGTCCCGGCAACGGATCACTTCACCAGTGAGCTGTTCCGAACAGCCCTCGAAGCGCCGCCAACGCGACGCGTCCGTCCGTCCGCTCCGGGCGTCGGCGTCACCTCTCGCCCCGCTCCGATGACCGAGTGGCTCTAGTATCGCTTAGAATGGCGGGCCGGCCTGGTGGGCAAACAAAGCCCCGAACGACCAGCTGGAACGACTCCGCCGTGCTCCAGTATTGTGTGCTGACGGTCTCGCAGGACATTACGGCACGGGGTAAATAACCCACTGCATGTTTTGGAGCGGGGCGAATGCGTTGCCCGGCGCTGCGGTCGTGCTGTTTGGAGTGCAGGCCATAAAGCTGTCCCCTGTCGCATATTGTGAGCTGTTGATGAGTGCGTTCGGGTGTCACGAACCCACCCCCCTTGATGGTTTGATGACGAGTGTGTTCAAGAGGCACAGACAAGGTGCAGAGTGGTGACTGCTGTCTGGTGCCATGCGCGCCGCCACCGAAGCGTCTGGGCAGGCGCCGTGACTAGTGGATTGGGCTGATCTTTGACACTTCTTGGGATAGGTTTTACACAGGAACGTTGGGTGGATTACGCTTTAGGCCCGACAATGGCCCAGGCATGGCCTGCCACGCCCATGGTGTCCTTACTTGTTCGAAGAAATGCACGGAATAAGGAAAAGGACGCCAGTTAGTTACGTAAATGGCATAGAATCATGCGACTTCTGGCATTCATAACGCGCTGCAGAATACCATGTGTCACGAAGCCAAGCTGAAAACAAACTGGATGCGAATGGTTCTGCTCGATTCATCCTCTCGCATAGAAGACAGCGGGGTATTTACCAAGCATGTCTTTCAAGCTGAAAAGGTTATTTATTCAGGCGATCCGTACCAATAACCTGTCTGCGCCACGAAGGTAACGACACCTACCTAACCATGCCACACTCATAAATATGGAGTGTAAAATACATTGTACAGGGTTGATTTTCACGAGGTTGAACCCTATAGCTTTGTGTTCGAGCAATGTCATTCCTACGAGTTGCTGAATGAGGCGAAGCCAAGTCTAAACAGCTTGGAAAATATAAATGCAAAACCCAAAAGATCAGGCACGCTGCAACGCTTGAATGCAGAAGTACCTTCAAAACAGTGGAAATGAGTCATGCCTGGTAGTAAACAACATGACAACGGCTACATTTTGTTCTTAAATTGGACGAGTTTGATGATTCGCAACTCGATGCCAATATGAGGCAAGCAAGTAAATATGTTGCGGCAACAGAACCTCATGAAACCCGAGATGAAACATCGTTTGTGGTGCAGAACTTCATTAACTGCCAGCTCGCTCTGGATATTATCCAATACGGAGCGGTATTTTGTCCGAGTAACCGTGTTCTTATTTTATAACCTTCCAAATGCCCTGAACAAAATGTGCCCTACTTTGGGTACACATTGGTTTTGGTCTGCAAAAGAAGTTTCGATGCTGTCATAGTCATGACTTCTTCAAATCTTATGTAGTCTCATTTGAAACAGCCAAAGGCTATCCATAACAAAATAATATAAAATATGGTTCAAAAGGGAGCATCCCACCTTTTTATGCTTTTCACTTATCGCTACGTCAGACATGTCCGATATGATGGCCAATACCAGTTTTCTCGAAATTCTTCTGAAAAGCTCATAATTTCGATTTGAAGTAGTTGCTCCGATGGAAGGAATCTCATTTGACACCCTGCTCGCCACGATGAATGCAATATTGTTTGCATAATTTTCCTTGCGTTTTCCAATGTGCGTGTTCTGTAACGTTTATCCTACACTAATTCATAAAAATGCTTGTGTGTGAAATGCTGCGAAAGCTTGACACACTACAATAGGCGGAAATGTATACAAACGAGAGGCTACCACCGCACAAATTCAACGAAGCGATGTACTATGGCTTTCAGTTCTCCCCTATGACATTTAGCGTAGGATTGTCTCTTTTCGAAGCGCGCTTTGGCTTCGGAAAACAGAGCAATGCATGGTCTACAGGACGCACTGATTCAAACTTCAAACAATGTATTTCTCAGTGAATAACATTCACCACCCGCAGTGCCAATCACAACCATTGATTTATAATGACGTAATTTACGTCAGTAGAGGTGCGACTTTTAAGCCCACAAACCTGCAATGTGCGGGTTAAAACAGCTCAAAGGTGGTACTTTGAGTCGGGAACAGCTGACAACGGCACTAAGCTGATATTGTCGCTGTCATGACACGGCAGTCACGACATTTGCGTTTATCACAGACTTGGGCTACACTCAGGGGCCATGAAGAAAGAAAAGAAATATGGTGCTGTAGCAAAACGTTGACAGCTTGATTTTGTAAAAAAAAGAAGCTAAATTCAATCGCCTCATGTTGATGACATGTTGACATGTTGATGGTGTTGCTGAGGCACTACCCGGTGTTTTTATCAGACGCAACTGGCCATGATGTTTCATCAGAGCGCGTTTTTTTCTTCAAATATGCTCCAAAGGACGCACATATTTACGCCGCATCCAAACTACAACACAGACTCTGTGGGATGACGGCTAGCTGTCGTTTTTCAGATGGCCATTTTGGGAATAATTAGCCTGCGTAAAATTATACAAAATTAAGAAAGCTCTGATTTGAAAATGCTATGCACACAGAATAAGTGTAATGATCTGTATGAGAAATGAGCTTTGAAACTGTGGCAGCTGTCATTTGACCATCAAAGCTGCCATTTTGATTTCATTTTTCGGCCAGCTGGTGTTTCCCGAATAATCGTTTTAGAAGTGAGCAGTCTACAAAAAGCGATATAAGTGAATACATAATTAATTGCGAGAAATGACATCTACAGAACGAATAACAACGACCTTTGTGATGGTTAGATGTGGCGCTTAAGGGCGCGCCGACTGGTGAGATCCTTTTGCGTCTAGCGGACATTTGTAAGAATGGATTTACAACTGTTGTAATGATGCCAGTTGACCTTGCCGACTGACGTTTTGTCAAACACATTTACGCCACGACTGCCTGTCGGGTATCTCCAAAATGGAGGACCAAACATCAGCTAACCAGGAATTGTTTTGATTCACCTACCAGAGCCACTTAGTAGTTGAAACATGCACCCCGGTGTTCATGGGCTCGGTCCATGAACACCTTGCGCCTTTGACATCATATCTTTAGCACATGCGCAGATAAAAACCGAGTCCTCAGTTACAGAATAATGCTATGTTTCGATCATCATCATCAGTGTAAGCGATGTTGGAATGCTTGACAATTTAAAACAGGTCCAAAGCGTAAAATAAGGCTGATGATCTGTGCATGGGAGATCCAGGTTACTCAGCGATTTACGTGCAAGCTGCCATTATCCATTGCCTATGCAACCGCCACATCGTGTATTGGCCGTTTAAGGCCACCATAAAAGTCATTTCATGTCGTGGTGGCCCATGCTCTGTAGTGGCGATTATCAACATGGGTGAGAGCTTTTGAAAAGGAAAGTCAATACTGAACTGTTTATGAAAGGCAAAGGAGTGAATTTCCTGGTCACGCGCTGAACTCCTGAGGAACCCACAAAGTCCCCGCTAATGTCACATCTTTGTTAGCTCTGCTGCCCTAGATAGGTACTGTGACTCGACGTCGATATGTTTCTTCCATTTTATCGCTTTTCTTCTTCGTTCTCCAATATTTTTGGACATTGTTCCGCTTTGGTCTAAATCACTGATGTTAATTTTCGATTTCGTCTAAGCCGCTTAGATAACTGCAGGCCAGTACCGTGCCATTTCATTCTGGTACACACGTGCTCCAGCGAGCGACGCGTCCATTTCCTGGTGGGGCAGGAGAAGAATGTTTGACCTGGGTCTCTGTTTCAGGTGTCGTGGGTGCGCCAGCGTGACCTGAAGATTCTGACGGTCGGCAAGTTCACCTACACGTCGGACCACAGGTTCACGGCCGTCCACGCTCCTGGGTCTGAGGAGTGGGTGCTGAAGATCACCAGTCCACGGAGGGAAGACTCGGGGGTGTACGAATGCCAGGTGTCTGTCGAGCCCACGATGAGCCAGCCGTTACAACTCGACGTAGTCGGTAAGCTTGCTGACCCGCCTGAGACTGTTTTTATTTGCCATATCCAAATGCGCGCCGAAGTCAGCTTTAATTTGGCTAATCCCGAACCAGACTCCACGGGCATCGCAATCATACCGACTAGGGATCCAAAGTGGGACAGCCCTGTGCATTTTCAGACTCACTCCGACTCCGACTCAAATACATCAAACCCAAACCCGAACCTGACATCGGTGGAGTCAAGTGCGCTGGGAAATGTTCAAATGCTCCCCGCCAAACAGTACGCATGCAGTCTCAGGCTGCACAAATGTTTGTTGCAATTTTTTACGACGGTATCCTTTGTACTGCCTGGTAATGCAACATACTACCACAAATAAGATGTATTTAACTCTTGCTCTGATTCGCCGTTTTTTCATAACGCTGCCTGGAAAGGCGGCAGCTGGACAATGCGAACGCCCTGCCGCGTCCACGTTAATAAAAATACAGTCTGGCAAAAATGTTTCTAGGCTAATAACTGACCCCGTATGGCGTGTGAAGGTCAAATATAAAAAAAATAAATTTTTCAGCTTTACAGGCTCATATATAAGAGACTATGCCCTGTAGCCACACGAAGTCTGCACGGGCGTGTTCGTTGTTCAATCTTAAATGCAATTTATGTAATTTAATGCATGTTTACGGCATAATTAGGATGCATCGGTCCGTTAATAGAACAGCGTCGGCCGCCGCGCACATTCCGCGAAATCTTCAGTTGCCGCTCGCCGCCCGCACCGGTCGTAGATCACCATGCGGTGCTCCACAAAAATCGTCGCTGCTCCGAAATAAAAAGGGGTATAAACACATGCTTAGCAATATGACCGCGCAATGAATGCCCCACAAGTTACTAAAAATTTGGGCGATTGCACGACATGCCAAAGAGGTTTGCTTAGAAACCTTTAGGATGGGGGGGGGGGGGGCGGAAGCGCATCGACCCCTTATCAGAGCAAGGCTTAACTTTGTTTGCTGTTGTGTGCGTTGTGTGTTTGACATTCTGTATCTCAGAGAGATTTTCGTGGGTCCCCATTACGCAATGGACTGCAGCAGCGTCCGTACTATCTAAATAGCCTCGCGCTGATGAACATCAATTCGGGCGAGACGCGCACCGTCCGGGAAAGAGAACACCACGCCATAAAAAATACTGGGATCCGTGCGCCAGCCCTCCGAGCGCCGGCCCGTCGCAATGAATCAGCGCGCGTAGAAAAGACCAGAGAAATTCCCTTGGACTGAAGCCAATTACATAAAACGCACGAAGCTGAGCCCTGACGTCGAGGATAATGACCAGGATGATTTACCGTCGGCTGCGGCGGGCAGCGAGCCGTCACTGTACGCCGCCGCTGCTCCCAGCACGACACGGCTCAGCATGGAGTTACGGCTGCACGGGTGAATGAAGAACTTGCGTGCAGCGCACGGTTACATGAGGTCTTTTGTGGAAGCCCTGGGTAGCGCAGTGCCGTGTCATTTGGTGTCATTGTGGTGATGGGCTATTGCTCCGGTACTGGAAAGGAGAAATGATGCACCCCGCATGGAAGGGCGCTGCACTGGAGGTGTTTGTAGCGCGCCTCTGCCCACGGGCGTCTCAATTCATTCAAGTCCGAAATCATCCAGTTTTTTTGCAAGTCGGTATTCACAAATGAACGACCCCATCACTCCTCAGTACACATGCTCCAAGCATTTTAAAAAGGTGTATTGTATGGCTCAATACAACATGCATCACCATGACATGCCTATTAATACCATTCTTCCTAGCACCACGCTGCAGGACGAGCATAAGCTTAAAGTTGCCTCATCCTGTTCATTACATTAAGTGAAGCTCATTCCCGTTATCCCACCCACTGGGCCGTACCGGCGTGTCGCAGCACGCCAGGCCGGTCGACCCGGACCCGGCCGGCTGTGGACGACCGAACACAAGCCGGACTTCAAACCACGGCTAGTGTCCATTGCAGGGATGCAGGCGGCGATGCGAGTCCTGGGAACGGCGTCTGACTCCACAGCGGTTCATGTTCCCACAGCCGTGGCTGTCCGTGACAACCGGCTCTCGACCCAGAGTCGCGGGCGGGGATGGCAGTCTCCGCGGACTGTGCCTGACTCCATCGCGTCTGTCACTCCAGAGTCGCAGGAGGTCATGACAGTCTCCCCCAACAATGACTGACTCCGCGTCTATCACTCCAACACCGCGCGTGGCGTTAGGCGGCCATAGGTGTTGTTCCTCTTTGTACCTAATCTCCTGCGTTCTCATTCCAGAGTCGCGGGCGGTGACAGCCGGTCCGCGGGAGTTGTACCTGATAACTGTTCTTCTCATTCCAAAGACGCGGACAATGAAAGCCTTTCCGCGGAAGGTGTATCTGATTACTGTTCTTCTCATTCCCAAGCCGCAGGCGGTGATAGCCGGCCCGCGGGAGATGTATCTGGCTACTGTTGTTCTCATTTCAGAGTCTCGTCTCATTCCAGAGTTGTGGGCGGTGATAGCTGGTCCGTGAGAGATGTATCTGATCACTGTTGTTCTCATTCCAGAGTCACGGGCGGTGATAGCCGGTCTGCGGGAGCTGTATCTGATCACTGTTGTTCTCATTCCAGAGTCATGGGCGGTGATAGACAGTCCGTGGGAGATGCATCTGATCACTGTTCTTCTCATTCCAGAGTCACGGGCGGTGATAGACGGTCCGCGAGAGCTGTACCTGAAGCGGGGAAGCAGCATCAACCTCACCTGCACGGTGATGGCGGCTCCCGAACCGCCAGAACACATCTTCTGGCACCTCAACAACATGGTGAGCTGATCATGGACACTAAACCAGGCCGCCGGCGCGCTAATGGCGAGCTAGGGCTTAGGCAGATCGTGGGTCAGAAACAAGAGAAGTGCGCAATCTAGTCGTCTCGAAATGTATATTAATATGAGAATTCCGCCCTGCCCTCCCCCTCCCATTCATTCACATCCAAGGAGGGTTGCAAAACGATAAAAGACAGAGCGAAATAACGCCAGTGTATGCTTCCAATAATATGTGACACAATTAAGGCATATCGCATCCCGGTATTTGATGGTACATTTGGCACCTTCCATTCACTAAGTTGCAGGTATTTACCTCCACCTCTCGCGCTACCCCACCGCCAGGAGCCATCCTCTTTTGAATGACCACGGATTCAATACCGAGCCAATGCCGATTAACCTATCTTGGTTTTTCAAAGCACAAAATATATGTACGTCATGTAACGCTACCAAATGTCGGTGCGCGGAACCATAGGCCATTGATAACATCACAGGTCAGGAGTTAAACCAGGGCGCTTATGACGTCATGGACAAATCTTATGGTGTTTATCAGACCAGCTTCATCTCAGGTCGGGGTTTATTGAGCAATTGTGACGGTTTTGTCTTCAAACACAACTGCCTGCGTCCCATTCATTCGCAAAATGTACAGGGATTATGTGTCCATGAAATATACTAGCCATCCTTCAGCACATTTGTGGGCCTGGGTGTCCATAGCGTCATGTTGGATCACAAGCCCTAATCTATGTTCGGCCATAATGTACAGCGCTGCAAGGAGGTGCGTACTGTGGAATGTAATATCTCAGTGCCGGCTACATTGGATTGCACGGCGCGCACGCAGTTGCAACGCTACATATGCAAAGCACGATACACCTTTGATGGACCAGTTTATGTGAACAGTTCATAACTCGCTCGGTGGGTGTAACCAGGGGTAAAAAGCTTACGTCCGTCTCCCAAAAAACACATCTGGTCTGATCTGTCTCCATAACCTTCGCCTGATTCGCCGTTTTTCATAACGCGGATTGATAGAGGGGGGGGGGGGCGGGTTAATGGACCCCCCACCCCCTGGAGTTTTAAACTAATAGAGATAGAGCATTGCGGAAACAAAAACTGGTCCGCAAAGATACGGCTTTGCGGACCAGTGGATTGGTCTCAATGAGATCTTGCAATTATTACTAGCCTTGATGCGGTTGGGTTAGTAATCGACCCCGTTATGACAGATTAAGGACCAAATTTTCGCCGTGCAGTGTTCCTCAAAAACCGCCACTGCTCCAGGACCAGAAAAGCGAAGAACACGTTCTTGATGTCAGAATACGCGCCATAAATGCTCCAAGGCTACTCAAAGTTGAAAAGCAATTGCAAAACATACCAGAGAGGTAGCCTTAAAATACCTCTGAGAGAATTCCCCGCTATCAGGATGAGAGCTAAGATGGTTTACGGCCAGAAAAACAAAGCCGGATTGAAAATTTGCAGCCTACTGATTTTTGTGTTCAAGCACATTCTACCTACCAAAATCTACTTGGAAAATTAAACGGCATTTCCGTCCTGTCAGCCAATAAGCCTGTGATAATCCAGGATTTCCTATAATTTACGCCACCAAAGAAGTGAGCGTGCCAGATCCCTTCCCTTGCCTCATATACACAATAATCCCATAGTGTATTGGTATTGTGTGCTCTATCTTAACAATTTCACATAATTTCTTGCGTGAATTAAAATACGATGCAACCACACATGGCATGGCTTACTTTTCATTGGACACTAACTCAATCTACACAGCGGACAAGCAATCACCCAGCCTACAAGCTATAACAAGGATGTTAGCAAGATGTTAGGCTTGAAGACATTACGAATCTTGCACAAAATGACAGTTCCTGTCCCATATTTAGGGCTCTGTTTTATCTGACAACTATCTAATAACTTGCTCAATATATGATATATCACAAAATTTAGAACACCTGAACACAACCACACAATTTCCCGAAACTTGAACACCAAAGTACTCCCTGAGCTTAGCACCCCAAGTTCTTTTTTCAGGGTGTTTTTCAAGAGGATTTTCAAATATACATACCTGACAACATCAAACACATATTTCGAAGATGTGTGATTGGAAACAGCTTTAGGTTTCTGGCATCAGTGTTTCCTGATTGGCAAAGCATGACAACGTTGTCAAAGGGATGTGTCGGCCGGCCTGAATCTTGCATTAACAGCGGCACTCCCTTCCTTCACTTATGACACTAAAGGCCAGCAAGCGAACTTTACAAGTTGAAATCTCACTGGACTTACAACACTTTGCATTCACATGATGCTGAGCTTTTTCCCAAAGCGTACATAAACCAATGTCACACTGGAATTTTGTTCAGGCGCTGTCACAACGAAATGTTTTGCAATATGGCAAATTTCTGGTGAGTTTGTCAAAAATAACGTAAGTTTAGCCCCCAATGATTCTGTCAACGTACTGAGGCCTGATGCTGAAATTCCCCCATCAGGTGTGAGTTGTAGTTAGTTGAACATCTTCACGTAATAAAATATTATAGTCTAGATATTCAGTACCTTGTCCCATTCACATCATACACACTACACATTTTGCTGGATAGGCACCTATGCAAAATTAGGCACGCTCTATCTACATGCCACGATCCAGATATGTAGTTGGCTAGCTTCTTCTCACAATTCACACCACTCACCTACCGAATATTGCATTCAAAATTACATATACTCACCAGCTCCTCACAATCCCTCTGGTAAAGCACTCACCGGGACACGAACGCCAATGATCGACAATGCTCAACGCTGTAATGGCGCATTTCAAGGCGAACCGCGCAACTCGGACAGGAACGAAGCTATGTTAACGATAATAATGACATCATTAGTATTTAAATCACCGTTGCTGCACAATGTCGTTTCCTGCCAAGCAGAAATAAATTCAAAGTTGCATTAATGAATCAAACAACTTATTTGACTTCCGCAATAAAAAAGTCCATGCCCAAAATTAGCTTGACTGTTAAATGACGTCATATACGGTTCATAAGATGAGTTTACGGCCGCGTTCGATCTATCGTCAGCACATTTACCAGCACCAATCACGGTTCAGTATTCTCGCTATGTCATATCACGTGACCGCAAAGTCACGTGGTCTGTGACATCACGCGCCGGCCGACAATGATGCCATGATTTTTTTGTCAGCTGTCAAGCATGGAGGGAAAGCACTACCAGATTAAAAGTCACTCTGAAAAAGAACCACGAGTTTGATTTGGTAGCTTTGGGCCGGCGAGTGCGTTAGCTGGAATGGAGGCACTTGTTTCTAATTTGGGGCAATGCGACGTTGCGTAGATAAGAAGGGAATGGGACTGCCAAGAACAGCCATGAAGCGGTGAGTATGCTTGATGTGGTCGCGTTCCCCAGAAAGTTAATAGTGTTAGAGTAACCGTAAAATATGGAGAACAGGAACGAAGCGTCTCACCCCTCGAACATGACCTTTGTCAGTACAAGTGGGAGTTCAATGAAAAAATGGCTTTATTCCAGTGCAAGTAGTAATGGAAGGCTGCTAGATCTTTTCCACAAAAACTACGGGAAAATTTCTACTGAAAAGGAATGAATTGAAAAGAGATGGGAATGGGAAGAACACTCAAGTTACGGATGTGATAAATGATGGAAATACCGTGACAGGAGCCGCACTTCCACACGCCAATTTAAAGGTAGTCTGTCATGGTCGGCGGTAAGCCAGAGCCGTGTGAGGTCTGAAAAAGTTAAAAGGCGAGGGAAAAGGAAGGTAAGGTTAACAAACTTTCCCCTCGGCCCGCACATCGAACACTCAGTTAGCACGCATGACGTCACGCATTCCAGCTGACAATCGTGCTGACGACAGATCAAACGGGGGCCCACGTCTTCAGTGAGGAGTTAATTTCGTGTTCTAAGGAGGCAGCGCGGTAGGACGAGAGCCTATTGAAAACTGGACTAAAACTACCCTTCAAAAATTGGTGGATGGCGGAGTGTGCGCACAAATTGCCCAAAAACTGTTTCCCCATACGCCAGTGTTGAAAAAGGTCTAGACCACTGAAAGACATTTCCCTCCTTCAGTGTTGTAATCTTCTAATTTTATTGCGATCGGCATTTCGTGAAATAATCTGTCAACTAGCATTTTGGGCAATGAGAGCGCTTTAGCCTTATTTTAAGAATGGCAGGCATTGATATGAATCTCCCACGCCCGTGGGCGAGGGGGGGGGGGGCTTTTTTGACCTCTGTATTGCGGCCTGATGTTAAAACTCTACCATGAGGCACGAATCACAGCGAACTAAACACCTTCACAAAATGAAAGGGAATGTTAAGAATCTAGATATGTTCAGTCCCATGCTCCATTCACAACCATAGACACTATACATATTGTTGGATAGGATAGGACCTACGCAAATTTGGATACACTACATACCTCGAAATGGTATGAAGCCAGCTGCTGCTTACACTTTGACTGGCCTCCAGCGCCATAAATTGTTTTTTTCTTTGCCAAACAGGCAGACTTACATGCTAAGACTTCATGATGCTTTTAAGATATCGATCCCTACCATTCAAGTTACATTCTCCATACTCACATAGATATTTACCACCAGATGAAGTAGAACATTGAGCCATGGCAAGTTACACCTTGCGAATGCCACATTCAAATATGCAAAAAAAAAACAACTTAAAAAAGCTTAACAGTTGCTCACATCCATCCCCTTTGGCAAAACAAATCGTGATACGAACCCCGATGACTGACAATGCTCAATGAGGTGATGACGCATTTCAAGGCAAACCGCGCCACTCTAACACAACGAGGTTATGCGCCAAGGCCATAGTGCTGCCATTCATTTTTGCATTACTATTACTGCAACAAACCGTTTTCTGATGGCCGGAGTAGAATATTTAAGTATATAATAATGAATTTAGCTAATCTGACTCCTCCAATAAACAAAGCTGATGGCAAGACTTGGTTTGATGATTACGAGACGTCATACAGGGTTTATATGGTGAGTTTATGTCTTCAGTGAGCGCTCAGTCTTTTACACCGAGGAGATAAGGCAGCAAGGAAGTGGAACATATTAGAAACTGAACTGAGGTGACCCCTCAAAAATGGGCGGGCAGTGGAGAGTGCTCACAAAGCTCCCACAAATTCCCCACAAATTGCCTCGCTGCGCAGCAGCGTTGAAAACGGTCAGGTCACAAAACCTTATTTCCCTCTTTCAGGCATGAAATGCACGCAATCTCATCGCAATGTGGGGGTAGGGGTAGTGGACCAGAAAGAACCTTTTTAATCAGGGGGTTTATTCTGTCGCTACAGTAAACACAGTTTTTGTCTTCCGAGAACCTTTTAGGCTGTGGGTTCTATTTTGATGCAATGGGGCCCTTTTTGATGGTTTAGAATTCTTACGGGCATCTCAAACCGCAAAAAGCGCTGGGCGCCAGGGGACCTCAATCACCTCCAGGAAACGGGGATGGGGGGGGGGGGGCATGTCCCCAACCATCCCCTTGACTATGGCACTGGCCCCTGCACAAGCCTATGACGCTGTTTGTCCGTTTTACTCGCAAGCTGCAGTTCCCAATCAGCTTTCATTAAGCTAAAACGCTTTTAAGCATTTGACTGCGTGACATTATTTTGGCGTGACTCAGAATGACGCAGCGGATTAACCTGATCTGCTATTAGCTCAGTGCACAAATGTGACTCACTAGCAGTACGAAATTGTAACGCCGCCGGCAAGGTCATGAAAGAAGATGGAGCTTAAGTTTTTACAAGTGGTCAGCTTTTGGAATCATTGTGATCTGACCTAGAGTGGTATAACCTAAATCAGCCGTTTCGACACGATGCTTGTTAGTAAGATGCCACTGGTCGCCTGCTGTCCCATAGAATAATGACATGAAGATCGGGCAGGTTTGGAGATCAACAATGCTATTCGTTAAGCCATTGGCGTTGTGCTAGTTTGAACTAACCTGAGATAACTTTGACTTTTCCTCTGGTGCAAGGCGCTTTGGACATTTCTTGACGGTGGCTCAAAAGCTGGCGCCCCATGTAATGCTGGTGACCTTCACTCCCGAGTTGGACCAAAACATTAACAACTGAAGCGTACGCCAAACGCTGCCAGTAAGTGGCTGGATAAGCTCCCTGTTTGTCGCCATTAACGTAATTTTCACAGCCTGACTACCTAGACTTGGACCATAATTCCTAATCCGGATGGCAGGTGGCACCTGCCACCAGCTACCACAGCAGCCAGTGGCAGCGTCTACAGGCCCTTAACAAACCTGGCACAGCTGGAAGCGTCGGGTCGCTGCCGTGGCGCCCTGCTCAGTCGAGTTGCCGCAGTCCCACGCGTTTTCACCGGACATGACGCTCCAACACGTATGTTGATGGTATTATGAAGCGCCGGGGTTAAACCGTGACGTTTCCCAGGTGATCAAGTACACGGAGCGGGGCGGTATTTACGTGGTGACCAACCGGCGGGCCCGCACGTCCACCCTCCTCGTGGCGAGGGCCACCAGCCGGGACTCGGGAAACTACTCGTGTCGGCCGTCGATGGCCCACATGGACACAGTACTCGTCCACATACTGGACGGTAAGTGGGGACGGTGCTTATCCGCATACTGGACAGGAAGTGGAGATAACGTTCGTCCACGTACTGGACGGCAAGTGGAGACCGTGCTTATCCGCATACTGGACAGTAAGTGGGGACTATGTTCGTTCACATACTGGACAGTGAGTGCAGGCAGCACCGTCTGCATACCGGATAGTGAGAAAGCGCAGTGCTTGTCCATATACTGGACGGCGAGTTATCCCTAGGGCAGGTCTTCTTATCAAAGATGTTGGTAGGGTTCATGAAAAAATTCTGGTAACAAGGTTCTTCTTTATATATATATATATATATATATATATATATATATATATATACATCTTTCAGACTAAAGCCTTTGATGGTTGGATGTGTACAGTTGTTGGAGCCATCATTTAATTTCGTGGTGTCGTATGCGACACCCTGAATCTGATCTGATGTCCGACTGAAGCCATAGTTACCTTTCATGATTTCAAAACTACGTTCCGTGTGTTCATAAGCCCGCTGCACTAGCTCACGATCACGTCACGTGGACCTGCACGGCACAGACCCATAACATTCCTCTTTGGATACATAACCCGCATTCCTTGGGTACTATCGTAATGACAAACCACCTCATCGGTTCCTTGCAGTTTTCCATTAAAGCACGCGATGGTGAGCAGTTTCTAAAGATGCGCTGCTCTAGCTGTGACGCTCCCTGCCCTTGACTCCCCCTCCCTATGTGTGCAGAGGAGGCCGTATCTCTACCGTGTACAGAGCAAGCCGTATCTCTAGCGTGTACAGAGGAGGCCGCATCTGTGGCGTGTACAGATAGGCCGTATCTCTGGCGTGCGCAGAGGAGGCCGTATCTCTGGCGTGTGCAGAGAAGGCCGTATCTCTGGCGTGTGCAGAGAAGGTCGTATCTCTAGCGTATACGGAGGAGGCCGCATCCGTGGTGTGTTCTGAAGAGGCCGTATCTCTGGCGTGCGCAGAGGAGGCCGTATCTCTAGCGTGTACAGAGGAGGTCGTATCTCTGGCGTGCGCAGAGGAGTCCGTATCTCTAGCGTTGTAGCTCCAGCAGCTTCTCTGACCACTCATGACGCTGTTTCCAGGCGAACACCCAGCGGCGATGCAGCACGGCAACTCGAACATCCGGTGCTGCGTGTCGCTGCTGCACCGAACAGTTTTTCTGTTGTTGCTGGCTGTGATGCGGTAGTGGTCGGCTGAGCTGACGTTGTGCGCGGAGTGCGTCTTCGTGACGAAGAACGTGACGGTGTTGAACGGTGCGTGGACGTTGTCTGTTCGTCGGGGGCTGAATAAACGTTCAGGTTTTTGGTTGGTGCCATTGTTCGCGTACTGGGGATGTTTCATTATGGATGTTAAGATGTGGCACCGAAACGGACGACGGAAGTTTAATATGACAATGCGGAAATTGGCCAAATACAGTACCGGAAACTGTCTGCTTTAGTGGAGGAAAAGAGACAAGGCACGCGAAAACCGCGGAGGTATGGAACAAGTAAACCAACACTGAGAGTTGGCTTAACTAGACCACATGCATCATTTGAAGGGTGTGCACGCAACGAACTGTATGAGGGATGATTCCTTTTCAGGCTCGTTTAAAGAAAGGCGTTGGTGATCAGAAGGCATCAAAATGTGTGTTGTTACGACCTGGAAAATAAACATGTTTGCGAGTCCAGACAAGCGTACCGAATTCACACGAAGGTACAAACACTATGAAAGTAAAATCAAGAGCACGGCGTGCAACATTTATACAAATCCTCAACAAAGCTATTCCACAAAGAATACAGGCTATAAGCCGTTTAAACTGCGCAGGGTTCAAGCACGTGTTCCATGTACGGCTCGTTTGTTGGATTCAAACACCCTGGATAGGTTTTCACCTATGAAATACATGCAAGGCCTGGCGAGCGTGCCCTTTCACTCTCAGTCATTTCGCATGCGTCAACTCGGCCGTGTGCTAACATTCCATACGTCGTCAATTCGCTAATCCTCAGATGTTCCATACCGCCTGAATCACCCATCCCAGCCATTCTGCACTAGCTCCGGCGCACCCGTCCCGAGCCATTTCACACCAACCCCGGCGCACCCGTCCCCAGCCATTTCACACCAGCCCAGGCGCACCCGTCCCCAGCCATTTCACACCAGAGCCGGCGCGCCCGTCCCTAGCCACGTCACTGTCACTGTTTCCTGACTCCGCGGGAGGTGGACACGACTCACTCCGCTGCCGGCAGACCAGCTGATCGGCCGGCCGTCAACGGCAGCAAAACCGGGCCTCAGAGCACGCCACGCCCCCCTCCTCAGAGGAGGATACAGCTGCTACGTCGCGGAGGGGGGGGGGGGGGGGCAGCCGGCCCTCAGAGGACGCCACGACCCCTCAAATGGCTACATCTGCTACCTCGCGGGAGGGGGGTGGGTGGGGTGGCGGCGGCCGGTTCTCAGAGGGCGCCCCCCCCCCCCTCAGAGAAGGCTACAGCTGCTGCCTCGCGGGGGAGGCGGCCGGTCTTCAGAGGGCGCCACGCCTTCCCCCCCCTCAGAGGAGACCCAAGCTGCTACCTCGCGGGTAGGGGGGGGGGGGCGGTGGCAGTCTTTAAAAGGTGCCACGCCTCCCCTCCCCACAGGAAGCGCTCAGCTGGCGCCGCTCCTGGCGCCGCTCGTGGTCGGTCCCCACGACCCCAGCGCCGCTCAGGTCGGCTGGGGCGGGGAGGCCGTCGTGCGGAGTAAGGTGTCGCATTCTGGTCTGATCTGAGAGGAAAATATCACCCCAAGTGAAGTAATGTTTCACTGCTTCTTCATTATTTCCCGCCATGATTGCTCAGTCTTAAACGCTGAAATCCGGCAAAGTGGATGGGTAGTTAGCGCTAAACTCAGAATTTGCATAATTATGCAACTCATTCCAAATAACGTAAGACAGATTTCTCATTTTTATGTCGTAGCCTTCTCCCACATTTCACGGGTTAGTGGCCAGGTGGGCCAGCCTTGGTGCCCTCAGGACCCAATCATAATACAGACACACGGAAGGCAGTTTTTAGACTCCCTTCGTTCTGCTAACGGGCGTAAACGGAGTTTTCGATGCAGGCTCTAAAGGTCTCTAGCCGGATCGGAATGATACAGTCTTTTATAGTGTTTGCGTGTGCCGACTGGGTGCCCAATAATAACTCCATGACGCAGGAGAAAGCGCCGTTTCTACGGAACACGCTGAAAATAACCCACGAACCGGACCCCGCCCAACTCTAAGAATAAAACATCGACAGGTCTTTAACAGTTTTAGCAAGCAAAGTGCCTTCGGCTAAAAATATTGGAGCATTTCTATAAAACCCCAATCACAGTCAACTTTCGCAGAAACAGCATGCATCCAATAGCCTGGTCTTTGCCCGACGCGAGCCTTTCCCACCGGCGGGGGTGTCGGAAGAGGAAGGGAGGCTGAGGTAGCGGCCGTCATCCCTCCCCCCTAATCCGATGTTGCGGCCGACCGGTCCAAAAGTCCAGAAGGCGTCGAGGGCAAAGGTCAGGCCAACGGGTACGTCGTGATGATTCCGCGAAAGTGCATCGCTGCTGGGCTTATAACGCTGTGCCCCTGCATAGAAAGAGGTACTTGCAAGCCACCTTCCCCTCCCAGCCCTGAAGGATCTACGCCGCCACCGCTTCCCCTCCAGCCCACAGCAGCAGCCTGACGAGGCGCGCGTCGCGGCCCGGCCCAGTCGGCAGTTTGTCGCGTGTCACCAGTATTATGTTACCCGGACCCCGGCGGCTGCTGACGGTGGCAGGCCGCGGCCAGGCGGTCCGACGTCAACAAGCTAACTCGATAACCCACGCCAAGCGGTTCACTGCCACGCAGTTGTGGTAGTTAAGAGCGCAGTGTCGCCTTTTTGGTCGAGATTAGACTCTAGACGTGTATACCTAGATTAGGCGCATCCGATACAGCCTGCACGGCCAGTTCCCTCTCAAACTTGCCTTCAAGAGCTCTTTTTTACATTTCGATTAGTAATTTCTACAGAGGTCTTCTATCAGACTCCTTGGTTGAAACCATCAGGAGCATATTCTATTCAAGAACATTGCATTGGTTGCACCTATCTGCGTCTTAACTATCTTATCAACAACCTCTCTGATCAAATTGCTTTAGCAATAAACTGCACCTAACATACCGAACCGTATTTCGCACAAAAATTCGTCATTCATTTTATTGCAATCCAGCTCAATCCATCTAACCTCAGGCCTGAGGGCTTAGGATGAATTGCAATTTCCTCAGCAGCGTCAGAGCCTAACCACGACGAAATGCGACGAAATGGTTGGAGGTTCTCACTCATCTGGCACGTGGCCAGCCACCGGCTGTCTCACCGCCTGGTGGCTGTCATGCTGCGGATGAGGCGGTGGTGCTGGCGCGCTTTGCAGCATTGTTTCGGCTTGTCAGATCACTTAATTTTGCTTTGGGTAATTTGGGTGCCCATCCAAACATCATGAGGGGTTTTTATCAACACTTCGCGCTCGTTGGATCCCTGTGATATGCACCAGCTGTGGCACTGTTGTGAAAAAATCTTTGTGAAAGCCGCCAGCTATGACATTTTTGCTCCAGGCAGCGGAGTCGCCAGGCCAGTGGAGATCGGTTCTACAGCACATCTGGCAGGAAACTGTGATTCGCTCTGTCGCTGATGTTCTGACCTCCGATACCCTAGTGTTCGTGGTATTCACAAGCACATTCGGGAGCGAGCACGTTCTGTTCGATCGGCGACCGGCATTTCGGCTGCATTTCGCGTGCAAGGTTTGACAGCTTCCTTGGTCATAAAGTTTGTCATGATATGTGGAGGTGTCGTGTCGCATGTCGAAGCAAGTTATCTCGATCGTATGGAATCAGGCTTCGACGTACAGCGCGAAGAGGACCGTTTTCTTACGACGCAAAACATGTTAAAATATGTTGAATTGGCGATCTTATGGCCACTGAATTGGTGACGTCATGGCCTATTGGGACATGTTTATGCGGTTCGGCAACAGATGACAAACTGAAAACAAAATTCAAAATGAAGCACGAAATTGGAACTCGAAGGGATTGCTCGTGTTCCCTGTCTTTTCCTTTTTGATCTGGGTTGTCACGAACCACACACTTATCGCACACTGAATTAGGTCCATACAGCGGCGATATGAAATGGCAACACAAAATTTGCCCTTCTTGAGTCTGTTCACGTAATAAATTCAAGTAAAAGATAAGTCCCCTATCTATCCCACCCAGCCGCACTTATCCCACGCTCTTCGTTAGGGATAAGTTTCTCACCGCAAATTTCCTTTGCACGAGACCGTTAAAAATAATGTACTCAGTGAAGCAGCGCGTCAAAGACATTGCTGGGTTAGATACAGGTGCCTGATGATCACTTTCCATCAACATTTAAACAATTATTTAGCCCGATTTATGTTATCCAGTTTTAAGCCCGATGGAGCCACGGTTCGCGTATTGCTTTGTCCTGGTTTATCTGTACTATCAACACAATCATGAAGTGAACAGCGTAGTGGCTTCTGGATACGGATCTTTCAATGTTTCTCATGAAAAATGAAGAAACTCTCTGTGTAGCAGGGCATATGCGACTCATGCTGTTCGAGGCACAACTATGGCAGCATGCAGCGGCAGCCTTCCTTTCGTCATGTGTTTTTTGCATGAAAACTTTTTCCTTGAGAGCCGAAGCCTGTGTTAGCGCACGTCAGCGAAGGCGTTACGAAACTACACAACTGTAAATCTCACGAAGTAATAAACATCAAAATCCGCGGATCGAATATATCTTTTGAATAACTAAAACATCAACGTCACCAAGCTTCTGCATTATCATGCAAATGCAGGACGGTTCATTCGTTGCTGTCAAATCCCGGGCATGCCGACACTGGCGCTTTATTGGCTCTAATCAATATGGGATTGCTAATTTACGCTGCAAGCGCGGCTTGTCACATCTGAATTACTAGTATAATATCAAAATCCTGTTGTCTAGTTTGGCCATCCAATGCAGCAGCCGGCTGGCACACGTACGCAGTCGTCTTCTCTCTGCCTTTTGAGCTGGCATGCTGTTGGCAGCGCTCCGGGTTCGTCAGCGCTGGAGTGGGCGGTTGCCAGCAGAGGGAAAGGCCAGATGCAGAGCCGGACGAGAAAAGACAGTAAAAAGGGTGTGGAGACACCGCCAGGAGATGGGCAGGCACCCAGCATAAAACTGGCACATATCAGGATTTCTGGCTCGTAACTTCTCGGTTAACAATGCCACTATGAACAAATGGCCGCGGGGGGAGAAAAAAGCAAGTTTGTAGGACGCTACCAAAGGCTTCGAGTGCGTGGTGCTGGGCGAGGGACGCGAGCGAGCGTACACGACATCCTCAGTTACACAGCAGAGAGACGAACATAATTCACGTCGATAGTGGACCGCGATGGAGTTCATCTTGCGTATGTGGACTATATGGGTAGAATGTGCCTC